AACTTTTTTTCAAATTATTAAAAATCAAAGAACCAACATAATTTTTTAGTGGTAAAATCTAAAAATTTTAAATTCCAAAATTTTGGCCAACTTGGTTAATTTCGACAAATTTTGGACGTTGTTAAATTTCATTGTATAAACAGAAGTACAATGATTAAGTGTGCAAAAAAAACTTAAGGAGTTATAGAAACGCACGTCCCTGGAAATATTTCAAAATCCATAAATTCTAAAAATTTCGTCAACGCTAAGATTTGAAGGGCCATTTCTGGTTTCAGACTGACTTCTTTATGATCTTGGAAACAGTTTTTTTTTAACTTATTAAAAATCATATAATCCGAATAATTTTAAAACTGTCAAAATCCAAAAATTTTATACCGAAAATTTTGGAAAAGTTGATTAATTCCCTGAAATTATTTTTAAACTTACTAAAAATTAAAGAACCGAAATAATTTGTTTTACCATCTACATAGCATTCCTAAAATAAATACAAAATTTGACAAAAATCCGGGACGGCAGACAGACGGACACAGAGATGGGCGGACAGACGGACGGACAGACAGACGGACAGACGGACGGACAGACAGACGGACAGACGGACGGACAGACAGACAGACAGATAAACAGACAGACAGACGAACGGACAAACAGACGGAAACGGGAGACCTATTTCTTTGTACTCTAGGGGTCATGAAAGGTCGAGAAAACGTAAAAGTAGAGAGTCGGCCGACGGACTCGATTGCTTACGCTCAGGAAGTAAAATCAAAAAATTTAAACATCAAAATCTTGATAAATCGAGAATTTGAAAATTGAAAAATGGAAAAATAATCGAAAAATGAAAATTTTAAAAACCGAAACAATAAAAAATCGAGAAACAGAAAAATGGACAAATTGAAGAACTAAAATATAATAAAAATCCCAAAACTGAAATATTGAAAAACGGAAAAATGGAAAAAAAAAGAGAAATCGAAAAATTGAAAAATCGAGAAACCGAAAAGTCGGAAATCGGAGTCGAAAAAAAAAATGTTAAAAATCGAAAAATTGAAGAATCAAGAACCTGAAAAACCAAAAAATTGAACAATCAAAACAGTGAAGAATTGAAAAACTGAATAAGTCAAGAAATCGAGATGTGGGAAAAGCAAAAAATTAAAAAAAAAAAATTTAGAAACCACAAAAATTGAAAAATTAAAAAATCGAAAAGAGGGGAAAAATTGAAAAATCGTAAAACTGAAACATCGGAAAATTGAGAATTCGAATAATGAAAAAACCCAGAAATAAAAAATTGAAAAATCCCAACACTGAAATATCGAAAAATCGGCTAAACCAAAAATTGAAACTACAGAAATTAAATACATATTTTAAAAATCGTCACATTCAAAAACTGGAAATTCTAAAACCGATCAGCCGAAAAATCGAGAAATCGGAAATATAAAACAAAAAAGAAAAAATCGAAAAATTGAAAAATCAAAAACTGAAAAAACGAAAAATTGAAGAACTCAAAAACTGAAAAATCGAAGCATTGGAAAGTCGAGAAATCGAGAAATGGGTCAATCAAATAATCGATTCATCGAGAAATTGGGAAATAAAAAATTTGAAAAATCGAGAAATCAAAAAATCGGAAAATATTAAACATAGAAAAATTAAAAAATCAAAAATCTGAAAAACCGAAAAACTGAAAAATCAAAAGTGATAAATTGAAAACCTGAAGAATTGAAACATTGAAAGATCAATTAATCGAGAAATGGAGCAATCGAAGAATAAAAAAAAATTGAAAATTTGAAAAATCGAAAAATTGGAAAATCCCAACACTGAAATATCGAAAAATTGAGTAACCGAAAATTCTAAAACCGAGAAATCGAAAAATCGAGAAATCGGGAAATAGAAAATTTCACAAAATTTGGAAAATGGAAAAATATAAATATCGAAGAACAGAAAAATTGAAAAATTTCAGATTCAAAAATGGAGGAATTAACGTATCAAAAAATCGAAAAATTCTAAATTTAAAAATGAGAAAACAAAAAAATCGCAAACGTACAAAATCGATAAATCGGAAAATTGAAAAATTGAAGAATCAAAATAATAACAAAAAAAATCCAAACTCATTTATCGAAAAACTGAAAAATGGAAGAAAAATTGAATCGAAAATTTGAAAATCCCCAAAACTGAAACATTGAAAGATAGAGAAATCGACAAATGGGTAAATCAAAAAATCGATTGATCGAGAAATTGAGAAATGGAAAAATCAAAAAATCGAAAAATTGAAAAATCCCAACATTGAAATATCGAAAAATTGAGTAATCGAAAATTCTAAAACCGAGGAACCGAAAAACCGAGAAATCAGAAAATCGAAACCATTTAAAAATTTGGAAAATGGAAGAACAGAAATATCGAAGAACAGAAAAATCGAAAAATTTCAGATTCAAAAATGGAGAAATAGAAATATCAAAAAATCAAAAAATTCTAAATTTAAAATGAAAAAACTGAAAAATCGAAAATGTACAAAATCGAAAAATCGGAAATCGAAAAATTGAAGAATCAAAATAACAATAAAAAAACTCCAAACTCATTTATCGAAAAACTGAAAAATGGAAGAAAAATTTAATCAAAAATTTGAAAAATCCCAAAACTGAAATATTGAAAGATAGAAAAATCGAGAAATGGGTAAATCAAAAAATCGATTTTCATCACGAAATTGAGAAATCGAAAAATTGAAAAATCGAGAGATCAAAAAGTCGGAAAATCAAAAACGGAAAATTTTGAAAATAGAAAAATTAAATAATCAAAAACCTGAAAAACCGAAAAACTGAAAAATCAAAACAGTGACAGATTGAGAAACTGAAAAATTGAAACACTGAGAAGTTGAGAAATCGAAGAACAAAAAAATAGAAAATTTGAAGAATCGAAAAATTGAGTAGGTACTCGAAAATTCTAAAACTGAGAAATCTAAAAATCGAGAAATCTGGAAATCGAAACCATCAAAAAATTTGGAAAATGGAAAAATAGAAATATCGAAGAACAGAAAAATCGAAAAATTTCAAATTCAAAAATGGAGAAATAGAAATATAAAAAAAAAACGAAAAAGTTCAAAATCGAAAAATTGAAGAATCAAAATAATAATAAAAAAACTCCAAACTCATTTACCGAAAAACTGAAAAATGGAAGAAAAATTGAATCGAAAATTTGAAAAATCCCAAAACTGAAACATTGAAAGATACAGAAATCGAAAAATTGAAAGGATCAAAAATCTGAAAAAACGAAAAATTGAATAATTGAAAAACTGAAAAATCGAAACAGTGAAAAGTCAAGAAATTGGGAAATGGGTAAATCAAAAAATCGATTCATTGAGAAATTGGAAAAAGGAAAAAATTGAAATTTAGAAATCAAAAATTGAAAAATTGAAAAATCGTAAAATCGAAACATCGAAAACTTGAGAAATCGAAAAATGGAAAAATTCATGCAATTTTTAACATTAAAAAAATGCTTCTCCACTTATTACTTTTTGAGGAACCTGTGCTAATAATTTTAAACAGTAAGAGAAAGAAAAACTGAGAAATCCAAATTGACGACTCTTCTATTTGAATCGAATATCTTTTGGAACACCACAAGGTGGCCTATTTGGTCCTCCGCTGTTTTTATTTTCCATTAACGATGTAAGCAAAAATTACGAACAGTGTCGTTTTCTTTCGACAACACACAGTTATTTAATTAATTCACTGCGGTGGAAAAACTGAAGTCGGCATTGTCAATTTCATTTCGTACAAACGAAGTGCTAATAAAAATGTATTTATTAATTTATACTACAAAGCAAATAGCTGGTAGATTTATTAGTATGTAAATTTGGTACGAAGTGTTTAAAAATGTAACAGCTAAAATCCTGTATATGGTGTGTTTAACGTTAATGTATCACGTAGGGTACATACGCGCCATTTTGATTTATTACCTCCGGAGTTTCATCGAACCAACTATGGAAATAATTCGCCACATAATATTCCGTAAGTGAATTAAACCAAACTGACCAGTTTAACGCCACTTTTACGAATTATACAGGAATTTAATTGTTTTATTGATTTGGCAAATTGGGTGCTTTGAATCTATCCAACCAAATTATTTGCTTTGTCAATTAATATTGTCAAAATCTACGCGACCCTAGTTTAAATAATGAAAAAATTTCGCTGAAAAAATGTAGCATATCTCTCGCAAGAATGTAGAAATCAATACCGTCAATACATTTTCAATTTAAAATAAATTTGCCGCCCCCGCGCAGCGGTAGTCCCGAAGAAATCAAGGAGCAGCTATCTCGTAGATTTGATCCAGGCCAAAGCTGTTGGGGTAAACAACGCATGATGCTTACATATGCAAACATAAAGTGGGGAACAGTCGACAGCGACCGTACCGCTGGCAATTAACACACCCTCAATATTGCCGACCCTCCTCAAACAGCCCACCCCACATCACACATGGAGCGGACCCTCGCTATATAGCTTGATTTCAAATTCAAATAATTTTATTACTCAAGGGTTTCCTCCCGACATTTCCATATCTACAAAGTTTTATGCTTGTTATTTCAACACATTGCGTTCGCTTCCTCCCGAAAAAGAACAGGACGTAAATCACATAAAAATGACAAGGATCTCTTCGGCGCGTTCTCGCGTCCGCCATTTAGCCGGCCAATTTCATAACGGCGGATTTAATTAATTCGCGAAAAACGGGGCGCAAACTCTATTTCGGTTGTAAATTGTGTGACATAAACACAAGGTGAATATTTAACGCAAGTATAGTGGCTATGTGCATTCGGCGATTATTAAAACAAGCGGAGATTAATCCAAAAAGTGGAAATTCATGTCGAGATTTAACGGGAGCGCAATGGAAATAATAATGCTGTTTCGCGGAACTAATGCACGGATTAAAATTTCACATTAATTTCGAAAGGCAAACACGGAAGGGGAGATGGGAGATAAAGGGTGAGGCTTTTAAAAATGTAATCGCTTGAATTTACTGCTTACCTGTTTATGCATTTCGACGTTCAAGCCGTACGACATCTCGTAGTACTGAAACAGAAAAATGAGAATTGTTACACTTCGGTAAAAGGATTACGAATGTGCGTGGAAACGCAATTAACGTTGCGTGGAGAAACCCCTTGTTGAAAAAAAAAGGTTTCTGATTAGATAAATGAGTCCAAACTTGCAAATTTCTAGCGTGTTAGAAAGTTTATGAGCTTTTCAAAATCAGAACGAATTTTACAAATGACCGGACGCTTACGAATACATTTTTTTATTTTAATTATTATTTCTAGGAACTCAGCTCCATTATAAATTCTTTTTATCTTTATGCTAAAAGTTGTTCCAGAAATGCTTCTTCAGGTCAAATCAAGTCAGATCAGGTCAGGTTATTTGAGGTCAGGTCATTTTAAATCTTGTCATTTTTAAGCTAGGTCAGAGCACTTCAGGTCAAGACAGTAAAGAATAAGCCAGGAGACAACATATTACGTCAGGGCAGCATAAGTCAGATCAGGACCAAAGAAGTCAGGTCAAGCCATAAGAAGACAAGCCAGACAAGGTTAGAACAAGATAAGTCAGGTCAAATCATTTTAGGTAAGAAGTCACGTCAGGTCAGCTCTGACTTTCATTCTTCAATAAACAAATAGTTATTTCTAGCAAATCAAATCTATTACAAAGCGTAATTGAACTTTTTTCTTTCTACTAGATTTATTCATACTAAAATTTATGTGTTCGAAAACTGCTTACAATAAATTTATTCAGATCATTTGAAGTCATAACATTTGAAATCAGCTCAAGTCAAGTCACGTAATATCAGATCCTACCATTTTAAGCACCATCAGTCCACTTCAGGTTAGGACAGGACAAGTCAGGTCAGGACAGATCAATTCAGTTCAGGCCAATCTGATCTTCATTGTGTTCATTAAAACCCTTTATAAAAGGTTTCTGTTATATTCATAAAGTTTGTTCGAGAATTGCTTACAACAAATTTATTCTGGGCATTTGAAATCAAGTCAGGTCAGAATAAGGCATGTGAGCACGAAAAAAAAAATCAGGTCCAGACATGAGATGGCAATTCAGGTCAAAACATTAGATGACAACTCAGATCAGAACCAGTCAAGTCAGGTAAGATCACATAAAAACATATCAAATAAGATCAGGTCAGGTCATGGCAAGTCATGTCAGAACCGGACAAGTCAGGTAAGATCAGGACAAAACATATCAGGTAACCGGTCAAGTCATGTCAGATCTAATCAGATCAGGGCAAGACAAGTCAAGTCAGGACAGGGCAAGACAAGTCAAGTCAGGACAGGGCAAGTCAGATCAGAACATGTCAGGTAAGATCTCGGCTAGTCAGATCAGGTTAGGTCAGGTCAGGACAGGTCAGGTCAGTTCATGTCAAATCTAATCTTTATTCTGTTCACGACTTCAATAAATAAATAATTAATTCTAGGAAATCAAATCCATTTTCTTTATATTATTTTTATAATAAAGTTTGTTTGTTTGAGAATTGCTTGTGGTAAATTTATTCTGATCACTTGAAGTCTTGACATTTGTAGCAGACTCAAATCAGATCATTTTAGGTCTTAGTCATTCTAACCACTTCAGAGCAGGACAAAATAAGTCAGAGCAGGACAAGACAAGTCAACTCAGAACAAAACAGGTCAGGTTAAGACATCAAATAAGAAGTCAGATCAGGAAGCGACAAGTCAGACAAGATCAGAAAAAGACCAAGTCATGATGGGGCAGGACAAGTCAGGTAAAATCAGGTCGAAACATTATAGGTAAGATCTAGTTAGGTTACGTCAGGCTAAGTCACGTTAAGACATGCGATAATAAGTCAGATCAGGACGTGAGAAGTCAGTCAAGCTCAGATCAGGACAATTCAGGATGGGACAGGACAAATCATGTCACAACCAAATAAGTCAGGTAAAAACAAGTCAAAACATCAGATCCTAGTACCTTCTAAGATAAGACTGATTTTCACAAATGACATATCCTCTAAGAAAAAAGAGGGTGGGTGGGTGAGGCTAGTACCTGCTAAGAGAAGAGTGACTTTGGCAAATGAGATACCCTTTAAGAAAAGAGAGGGTGGGTGGGTGGGGCTAGTACCTGCTAAGATAAGACTGATTTTGGCAAATAATATACCCTCCAAGAAACGAGAGGGTGGGTGGGTGGGACTAGTACCTGCTAAGAAAGACTGATTTTAGCAAATGAGATTCCCTAAGAAAATACAGGGCGGGTGGGCGGACATTAGTAACTGCTAAGATAAAACTGATTTTCGCAAATGACGCCCTCTAAAAAAATGAAGGGTAGAAGATATGTCATTTGTCAAAATCAGTCTTATTCTGGCAAGAACTAGCCCCGCCCACCCACCCTTTATTTTTTCGAAGGTATGCCATTTGGTGATATCAGTTTTATCTTAGCAAATACTAGCCCCGCCCACCCGCTCTTTATTTTTTAGAAGGCCAGTACCTGCTAAGATAAGACTAATTTTGGCTAATGAGATCCCTCTAAGAAAATAGAGGGAGGGTGGGCGGGGTTAGTACCTACCTGTTAAGTTAAAAATGGTTTCAGCAAATGATATATCCTCTAAGAAAAAAGAGGGTGGGTGGGTGGGGCTAGTACCTGCTAAGATAAGACTGATTTTGGCAAATGCGATCCCCTAAGAAAATAGAGGGCAGGTTGGCGGGCTTTAGTACCTGCTAAGATAAAACTGATTTTCGCAAATGACACCCTCTAAAACAATGAAGGGTAGAAGATATATCATTTGCCAAAATCAGTCTTATTTTGGCAAGTACTAGCCCCGCCCACCCACCCTTAATTTTTTTCGAAGGTATGCCATTTGGCGATATCAGTTTTATCTTAGCAAATACTAGCTTCGCCCACCCGCTCTTTATTTCCTTGGAGGGCCAGTACCTGCTAAGATAAGACTAATTTTGACTAATGAAATCCTTCTAAGAAAATAGATTTAGGACCTACCTGTTAAGTAAAACTGGTTTTAGAAAATGACATATCCTCTAAGAAAAAAAGAGGGTGGGTGGGTGTAACTAGTACCTGCTAAGATAAGACTGATATTGGCAAATAACATAACCTCTAAAAAACGAGAGGGTGGGTGGGTGGGGCTAGTACCTGATACGACTGATTTTGGCAAATAATATATCCATAAGAAACGAGAAGGTGGGTGGGTGGGGCTAGTACCTGCTAAGATACGACTGATTTTGGCAAATAATATATCCATAAGAAACGAGAGGGTGGGTGGGTGGGGCTAGTACCTGCTAAGATACGACTGATTTTGGCAAATAATATACCCTCTAAGAAACGAGAGGGTGGGTGGGCGGGGCTAGTACCTGCTAAGATAAGACTGATGTTGGCAAATGACCTACTCTCTAAGAAAATGAAGGACGATTGGACAGGACTGGTATTTACTAAGATAACACTGATTTTGCCAAATGACATATCCTCTACGAAAATGAAAGATAGAAGGTATATCATTTGGCAAATTAGTCCTATCTTGGCAAGTATTGACCCCACCCACCCACCCTTTATTTTCTTCGAAGGTATGTCATTTGCCAAAATCAGTCCTGCCAAGGTAAAACTGATTTCGCAAATCGCATATCCTCTAAAAAAAAAAGAGAGTGGGTGGGCGGGGCTAATACCTGCTAAGATAAGACCTACGCTCTAAGAAAAAGAAAGGTAGAAGGTATATCACTTGGCAAAATCAGTTTTATTTTAGCAAACCATTTGGCAATATCAGTTCTATCTTAGCAAATACTAGCCCCGCCCACCTGTATTTTCTTAGGGGGATCTCATTTGTCAAAATCAGTCGTTCTTAAAATAAAGGGCAGGTGGGCGGGTCTAGTGCTTGCCAAGAAAAGGCTGATATTACCAAATAACATAGCCTCTAAGAAAATAAAGGGCGGACGTATGGGGCTAGTATTTGCCAAAATAAGATGGAATTTGTCATATCAGCTGTTTTCTAAGAAAATAAAGGGTGGGTGGGCGGGGACAATACTTGCCAAGATAAGACTGACTTTGCCAAATGATATACCCTCTATCCTTCATTTTATTAGAGGGTATGTTATATGGCAGTATCAGCCTTATCTTGGCAAGCACTAGCTCCACCCACCTGCCCTTTATTTTCTTAGAGGGCTAGTACTTGCTAAAACAACACTGATTTTGGCTAATGAGATCGCTATAAGAAAATAGAATGCGGGTGGGCGGGATTAGTACCTGCTAAGATAACACTGATATTGGCAAATGACCTACCCTCTAGGAAAATTAAGGGCGAGTGGACGGGGCTAGTATTTACTAAGGTAACACTGATTTTGTCAAATGGCATACAGTCTAAGAAGATGAAGGGTAGAAGATATATCATTTGCCAAATCAGTCCTATCTTGGCAACTATTGACCCCGCCCACCCACCCTTTATTTGCTTCGAAGGTATCCTATTTGCCAAAATTACTCTTATCTTGGTAAGTACTAGTAGTTGGTAATTTTTTTAAAACCAATTGATTACACCGAAAAACAAGAAATTTAACACAAAAATTCTCACTGCAAGAATTAAGTTGTTTTAGAGTACCTACTATTAAAATGTGGTAAAAACTTTTCTTAAAGTTAGCGTTGTTGCTCAGTGTTGTATCGTTTTTCCTTTTTAATTTTGGTTGCATTTTTGATCGCATATCTTTAAAAATCAATATCTCGATTATTTAGGGAAATTTCGGAACGCGATTTTCACCATTGCTTTGAGCTTACAAAACTCTAGAAATTAGAAAAGAAATATTGTCGAATTAATTTGTCGGAAACGAAATACACCAAAAGAGGATTGCGTCGAATAAACTGCTTTTACTGACAAAAAAGTCGACAATGTTTTTACTGCTGTTTCTAGTATTTTGTAAGCTGAAAACGGTGGTGAAAACGGCGTTCCGAAATTTTCATGAATAATTGAGTTATTGATTTTTAAATATCCGTGATAAAAATTTCACCCAAATTAAACAAAAACACTGTTTAAAAAAAAACTTAGAGAATATTTAAAATTGCATAGCAAAAAA